GCACAATATAGAAGGCAATCAGCACAGGAAGTAGAACACAGCAAATACACAAGCAGAGCAAGCCTTTGTCAATCTTTTAAGTAAGCTCACATGCAAAGTTGATCTGTTGTTTTGTTTAAAAAAAGAACTATACATTATATATAACTATAGTTATATACTGTTTGCAAAACATCACATTTGTAATACAGTGCCAGCTTATATATATGTATAATGTACATTTTGTAAAAAAAAAAAAAAAAAAGGAGAAAAAAAATAGCAGGACGTTGGAACAGCAGCAAATTTCTCTTTAGCAGCTACATAGTGCGTCTATACTATAGTTTAACATTTGTGTTTCAAGCCAACCATTTGCTTATAGGAAACATCTTTGATTGGAATCAATGCAGTTCCAGTACTGCTTTTTATTAATCTTTTTATTAATCTCAGACATTGTTACCTTGGCTTATCTATGGGTAAATGAATGCAAATGAATTGCTTTACAGACATAGCCTACATTTTATGATAAAAGTATATATTTTCACAGAAGAAAATGGTTATTTCTAAGACACGTTTTGATTATCTTTTCACAGTTTTCCAGAATTTACTCTAAGTCATTTATTTTATTCTGTCAAAAATAATCTTGTTCTTAAAAGATGCAGTTTGTAAATAAAACACTGCATGTATTAGGTATGTGTTTTTCTAGGATATTTTTTTGCCAGGAACTCCGTGAGATTTTTTTCTGGAATCCCATTTTTCAGAGCAATTATTTCTAAAAAAAACAGGGTGTGAGGTGCATATATAAACACTGCCTTTATTATGGAATCTGGATTTTCTTGGGTGAATACCTTCTGAGACTGATTACAATCTGAATCAATGAATTTTCATAGAATCCCTACAGACACGTCACATAATGCCACCATTGCATTTGGTCATAGTTTGGGAAGATTGCAGCAGTACTAACTAGTCATGTGACACCTTTTATCTGTTTTTGCACAATCACCAAACCACATGGGGACTTTTCTGCAGTGTTGCCGTAATATTATAGAATAACCAAATAAGATTTGTTTCTTTTTTGTCTAATGTTTGATCAAAGTCGATATAAGGAGATTGTGTTTCATTATCAACTGTAACCTTTTTAGAACATAGATGTACTGTTTTCCGTTTTATTTGTAACTTTGCTATAACAGGGGCCAAGTGCTACATTTAACATATTTGAAATGTTAATCAGACAGAAGAGCCCAGCAGAAAAAGTTACAACAGTCTTGCTGCAACCAAATAGTCTGTATGGATTTTTCAGCGTAGCCAGTCACAGTTTGCTTCTCAGCTTCCTGAGGAGTCTGGTTATGTTAGATTTCTCTTGCTTGTTGGAAGTGTGCTGTTAATATTGGCTCACATCTTCCATGAGAACACAACGAAGTGAGAAACTTGCCATGTTGCTCGCCCACAGTGCTCTCGTGACCCGAACTTTTCACATATTTATGGGTGGCTGACTTTGTGTCGTCTGAAAGAGTCTCTGGGCTGTTGAATAAAATATGACTGTCCAGCCAGACCAGTCACAATGCAAAAAAATGACTGGCAATCCCCAAAAAACAAAAGTGTCTCTGTACTTCACTGACTGCACTGTGAGGAAAGCCACTGTCCTCTGTCCTTTGGAGTTGGAGAGGCTCGGGGGTGGAGGACAACTAGTCAGGCAAGCGTTTGGGATTCCATTACGGGCACAACTGGTAGGGAGAGATACTGAGCGTCTGCTCTCCAGATGAAAAGCATATGAATTTTAATGCACTGCATTGTTCCATATGTGGGAGACAGACTGGAGGCACCCCCGAGGCAGCATGAGAATGTGAGAAGGGCACAGAAACGAGATGGCTGTGTGCTGCGTAAGGCTGCATATCACTGACAGTCTTGAGGTTAGAAATAAATGTCTCTTCGTGAAACCTGATGCACTGAGTGTCGATGATGATCTAGTTTAAAATCAGACCTGTCGTGTGCACACGTGCAGGGTGAAAAGTAGTTATCTGTTGCAAGTAGAGTTACCAATTTGTATTTGCTGCAGCTGGAGTCTTCTACTGACAAAGTCAAGATCTGTATTTGGGCGTTTGTTAGCAATTAGCAAAAAATACAACTACGTTTTTATTTACGGTCAGTCTTGAAATATTTGTTCTTTACTTAAGGTTTTCCACTTTTGCTGCTGTAGTTTATGGTGGGTTTTACTCGACTGCAGCACTTCAAAAGTTGTCTAACACTTACATACCATTGTGAGACGTTTACATACATTCACGGGCATTAATACTATGGTAATTTGAGGCTTTTAATCATTTTTGAACTGTTCTTTTTCTAGAGTGGAATGATTGTACAGCCTACATTTTTAATGAGTTTGAAGGATTTTCTCTAATCCACACAGGGTCAAAAGTAAAGATACAGGCTCAAATAAATACATACAAGCCCAATGATATTTTGTTAAATACCACTTAGAAAGTTGCACCTCGCCTAGACCTTCCAAGGTGTTTTACAGGTTGCCATCAACAAGCATTTGGCATAAATCTGCCTTGATAATCTGACCAGAGTTCATTTTTATTGGTCGGTCTCCCGGCACAGACGTGGCTTTAAAGCATAGTCCCTAAATTTTCAATAAAGTTGAGGCCAGGGCTTTGAGAAGGCCATTCCAGAAGCTTAATGTTAGCCTGCTCTATAAACCAGTTTTGATGTCTAAGTCCCAACCATCTTGCCGTTGACTTGAGGTGAATTTCAAGACTTTTGGAGTAGTTCTTCATTATTCTTTATTGTACCAGTGCCAATTGTAGCAAAACAGCTCCAGACCATGGTGCTACCACCACCATGCTTGATCGATGGTGCAGTGTTCTTAGGTTTGAAAGCTTAATGTTTCCTCCTCCAAACATACTTCTTGTCATTGTGACCTAAAGGCTTAATCTTTGTCTCAACTGACCATAAAATGTTTCTTCTGAAGGGATTTAACTTGTCCACGTGCGTGGCTGTAAATTTCATCTTGGAATCTGCAGTTGTTTAGTCATTCTAAGAGACCTTCCCAACTTGTGTAAATCTAATATTCTCCTATTATAGAATACAGTTCAAGGTTAAATATTAATCCAGCACTATCTTCTTCTTGTTGTTCTGGAACAAGTTTGGCTTGTTTGGAAGAGTTGCCAGGAGAAAGCCCCTTTTTGTTTAAAAAGTACGTGGCCACACAGCTTAGGTTTGCAAGTTGTATCTGAACAAACCACAAGAGCTCTGTCATACTGTTCTTTGAACAGATGAGACAAAGTGGAGATGTTTGCTGAAAATGTCCAGTGCCACGCCCGGCGAAAACCAAACATGGCATACCAACACAAATACAAAGTGCTGTAGAGTCGAATATGAACACATCTGTCCCAGAACTAAAGTTTGCTGAAACTGGGTCATGCAACAGGACAATGATCCCAAGCACAGCAGCAAATCTACAACACTGGCTGAAAATTTAAAGAATCAAGCAGCTGCAATGGTCTGGTCAAAGAAAAGACATCAAACTGATTCAAAGGCTGTGATGGGATCTTGAGGAAGCTGTGAATAAACAAACCTCAATGAACTGAAGGAACATCGTAAAGAAGAGTGGGGTCAAATTACTCCCGAGATGAGGCACTGATAAAATTGTACAGAAAACAATTCAAGTTATTTCTGCTGAATGTGGTTCAGCAAGCTACTGAATCGTGGGCTGTACTTAGTTTTTCACAGAACTGTAGTCTTCTTATTTGAATTAATTTTCTTGAAGAAAATTCCTAGGGGATATTTTTGTTATCATCTTACCTGCATGACTGATAAGTGTGAAGGTGAAGGAGAGGGAAATATACAGGAGCTTCCAGGTAATTGGCGAATAACAGAAATGTAAATATTGCTTTGACCTTGCGGGTTAGAATTACTAATGGTGTTAACAAGGGTGCTTTCTCTGTGTCCGTCAGCCATCAGTGCTGGCATAAAACAGGTTTTACTGTTCAGCGCACTCTCAGCACTCTTGTAAAATGTCGTCAGTTTACAAAATACCAGCATATTTGACCGCTGTGCATGGGTGAAACCAGTTTCACCTGAATGAAAGTATATGTACTCTTCATATGTAGATGTGTGATCACTGTATAAATCCACAATGGGAGACATGCTTTGCTAACACACATAATGCTCGATATTATACATTCCAAACCCGAGGTACAACAAGTGTTACCAACCAGTTTGGCACTACAGGCATCCCTGGTTTTGTTTTCTTATGAGCCAAGAATGTGAGGCAGGTATTTCGAGACTAAGCGTCATGGGTATTTTGCCAGAAAGACAAGACGCGCACAAAACCCCCCAGGATATAACCAAAGCTGAGGCAGAGACTTGGTGTCAAGCCTGTAAAACATTGAATGTGAAAGTAAACAAGAAAACCAAAATGCATGTGTAAAGCTGCTCAGGTGGATGCATGAATAGGGGGTTCAAACCACATCTGTCTATCTGCGCTTGATTAGAAGAAATGTAGGATCTATTGTGGGCACAGACTGGTCTCTGCTCATACCTGCTGATGAATAGCAGCGTATTTCAAAATAAAAGATACGTAGAGCCCAGAGGACACTGATCGAACCGGTTTGCCTCGGTTGCATACCTCACTTGTTGCACCATACTTGTCTCTTGTGTTGATAATAATAGCTCTCTGCCTTTCAGTCTCCTTTCCTGCAAGTAATCGACATTTTGTCTAGAAAAGAACAAAGGCATTAGTTTAGAGTGTAGATTCTGAGTTCACAAAAACCTCTTCCTGCTACAGCTGATATGTGCTTGCTCTTGGGTGTGTAAGTATTTGTTTTTGAGATATTTAAGCTCGGTATATTCAACAGTACGGTGTTCACATGACCCCAAAAGAGGTGGAATAGGCAGGTTTGCTTTTGACACTTGAGGTCCCTACAGTCCAACTTGTGGTGTCTACTGTTTTAGCAGTACATGGGAAAGGTCTCTCTCTCTCTCTCTCTCTCTCTCTCTCCCAAAATGTCCTTATTCTTAAATTAGAACTTTATCCTGAAAAAATGTTTAATATCTTCCCATCTTCCTGGGAACAGCTATATCTGCAGGTGTTTATCAGGCCAGATTTACTTCCTCTGTAGGCTTTTAGGGTGTGACCTAGTAAGTAAAAGGTTATGTGAAAGCTTCCTAGATGCTGGAGCATTACTTGAAAATGAAAGGCATTTACTGTAACTCCAGATTGCACCAGTCAGGGAGGTTTTTTTTATAAGCACCTGTGCAGATCACACTGCATCCTATTATAATGACCAAATCTATGATAAAATAATTAAAGCTACCGCCGATAGTGAAACCTTGTTTGATTGTAACAGTGGTAGTAATCGCTTACCTTCCATTTATTTAGTTTCAGTTGGTGGAGATAAGCGTAAAAAATGTAAGATGCAAAATAAGGTACTTAATGAGCCTTTGTTAAACTTCAGGGAAACAGTGAGAGCCTCGTTATCACGCTGGGAAGGCGGTGATTGGGTCATGAATAATGTATCGGGGTGGGAGGAGACAGTTTCGGCGTTGACTGTAGTTTAGTTGCGAGCGTCACGGTGTGTATTGAAGACCGGGACATGGTCTGAATGGCTTTCTTTACAGTCACTGGAGGAAGTTTTCGTTCATCGAACACCAGGTAAGATCGATTTAACCACTTCACGGACTTCACCAAGCCAGATGTTACTTTTTTTGTGCGTGTGGTAAATATATTGTTGCAATCTGAGGAGTTTCCTTACTTAGGTTTGTAATCTGCGTTATCGACATGTGTCTTTTAATCCCAATTTAATGTCGATTTCATGGATTTTACGCACGCCGTGCGTCTGGAGCAGGAAAGAAATCAGAAAGCTTGATTCAGTGAAGTCGAATCGTTGTGAAAAATGACAAACCACGGTTAATCTTTACAGAAAGTATACTTTTAAAAGGAGGATGACCTTCATGAATTCCAGCCTATTTTTTATGCTCTGTTAACTCTTCAGAGAATGAGTTAATAACTGATAGGTCGCAACTTTTTTGGGACAGTTTGACATTTGCTCAGTGTAGCAGCAGGTGGAGCAGTGTTTACGTTAAAAACAGCGGGTAGAAAAGGGTATTTTGTGTGGACGTGGGCCAGCGCCTACGATGTGGATTCCAATCCATAGGGGCCAAAAAGCCAAACGGGGTTCAGCCATAGCGTGTTCATGTTGTGCCCTGAAGCTTGATCAGTTAATCTTACTAGTCACAACATGTTGGACGAATGAAGGAATCTGCCACAGGCTATTAAGAACCTGCTGTTTTAGGTCTGATGGTGCTGCACTGCTTCTCATCTTAGGCCTCTTTTTAAGCATTGGTCCTCTTTCTTGTTTAAAAAAAAAAATCTAAATCTAAAAAATCTAAATCTTTTCACTTTACTGCAGTAGGAACACCTGTATGAGCCAGCATTCTCACGAGGGAATGATCACAGTGCTGAATGCTCCCTGTGCGATTATTTACCCCACTGATGTGTACAAACAGAAGTGTACTATTATCCTGAGCTGAAATGCAGACCTGACACTCCTTGCATTTTCCCTTTTTATATTATTATTATTATTATTATTATTATTATATAGAGAGGACAATAGTCATAGGGAAGGTGACTGGGGTCAACTATGCAAACAGGGCTCAAATCTCAACCTGGCGCAAGCAACAAGAGGTGACAGAGCACAGCCTGTTCCGAGGATTGCTTTGACCCATATCTGACCTCCCACTTTTTTCTTTTCTTTTTAACGAGCATTAATAGAAATTGATCAAATCCGAATTTACTGTGGTAATCCCGCTAATCCAGGGACCCCTGAAGGGATTCTCCAGATGGTCTTGCTGCAACTCCTAAATCAAGGATTTCATTGTGATAATGCAGCTCTTTCCTTTTGCTAATTACGCTTAACAAAAAGCATGGTAAATCTTTAAAAAAAAAAAAAAAGTCTTTCATTGGGAGTTTACATTAATTTTTGACTGTCGTGTGCATAGTATGGATTTAAATCTTTTCTCAGTGTCTTAAAGTAATGAAATAAACATTTCAAATCAGTGCCTCATCGCCCTGTTATGTTCCTATTATGTATACAAACCTTTGCAAGGTGTTCTTCCTTGAACAGCTGCAGCCCCAGTTGTTCTTTCCCGATATGTAAATCTGCACTGAGGACAGTTTCTTCTCTCCCAGAGGAAGAAGTGGTTTGACGTAGCTGTATGTCATTAGGCAACAGATCACCGAGATTAGCGGGCACACACTTCTCTGTGTTCTCAATGAGCTGTTGTATCTTTAAGAAGAGTGGGAGAACACCTGCTTGCCGCTGTATTGTTCCCAAGTGCTTTTCACATTCCAGTTTTACAAATAGGTCAGTAATCATTTTTGTCATGTTGTGCTATCATAACATGGAGTCTGGCTGTTGCTGTCAGTTCCTGATTTATGGCACCTGGCCTCAGCGAGCCTCTCTCCGATTCACTCCTAACATTTGCTCAGCAGGCTTTAAATGTTTCCTGTTGTGAGATGAAAGCCACACCAACATCTCAACAAGGCTAACTCTGCTTTCTTTCACCAGTCTGGCCTGTGGTGGATGACACAGCTTTTTTTGTTTTTCTTTCCAAAGACAAAAATACGAAAGACCCAACAATCAAACACAGAACAGGAAAGAAGATTTGTTGACAAACTGCACGATCAATTGTTGAAGATGTGGTAGTAGTTAGTAGAACATGGGTTAGGCTATCTGGAGTGAAAGAAAACTCACAATATCATCATTAATCACATTAATCATTAGTCACAGCTTTCTAACACTTTCTCTTGACTCCTTCCATCAGAACGAGGCATGGCTGGGAAGCCTTTCCGAGCCACCTACATCTGGACCAGCATCATTTCAAATCTGCATACTCGCGTGGAGGTCAAGCGTCGGCGTCACAACCTGAAGTCTTACCATGACTGTTTCTTGGGTTCAGAGGCAGTGGATGTGGTGCTGGCACACATCACCCTCAACCGTTTTTTTGGAGATGAAGCAGTACCCCGCTATAAAGCTGTCAAACTTTGTCAGGCGCTCATGGACTCAAGGGTATTTGAGCCGGTGGGAATTAAAGTATTTGGGAAGGAAAAGAAGAAAACTACATTTGAGGACAGCAGTTTCAGTTTATACAGGTTCCTGAGTCCAGAAAACAACTCGTCTTCTACGCTGACTGGCACCAATTCCCTTTCCACTAATACCATTGAGAGTGGCTATGACTCACTGAGCATTGAAAGAAACACGAAGGGCTATAGTCCTCTACGGGAAAGGTACAGACATAAAGTAACTATTTTAGATGTAATCTGGGATTTGCTTAGCTCTCATTCCTTTAAGGTAATTGTTAAATCCAGTTTAGCTTCAGATAGTAAGATTTCTAAAAACTGGTTTGGCATGAACAAAAGGTTTTGGAGTCAGAACATTCAGTCATGCATTGATTTCACAAATTTTCAGTTTCCGTTGATAATTTTCAGTTAATGCTTTTTCCCAAATCTAGTATTTTATAAATAATGATTAGGTAGATATAAATCATACTGATTTATCTCCCAAGTATTTGATTTGTTTTCAAATTGAGGGTTTGGACTGGAATGGTACTAACATGGTGCTTTTCTGCTCTTATTTGAGCACTCAAAGCGCTTTCCTACTGCAAGCCTTATTCACCTATATTCATATAAGCGCCTTGTTCTATCCCTAAGCAGTTTTGACATAACAGTCACGCACTCACACTTTGATCGATGTATTGGGAGCAACTGTCCAAGGATACTTTGACATGTCAGACCCTAAACCATCAAGCTCTCAGTCAGTAGCCAACCTGCTTTACCTCCTGTGCCACATCCATCCATCGTGATTGTCTGAATACTGAAAATAAAGCTGAGCACAAAGACAGAAAACGGGTGGAATGATTTGCAGGCTAGTATAGATCAAGTTACGACCATCATCAATCAAAGTGTTATGTTAATATGGGTGACCTCCCAATTGTGACTCACTTTTGAAACACAAAATTGTACATTTTATTGTTTAATTTTTTTAAGCTTTATTTATCCAGTTAAATCACTGACATCAAGGATCTCTTTTACATGGGATATCTGGCCAAGATGAACGCACCACTAATGTATCAAAACAAACATCAGATTAAATTAACGATATAAAGACTTGCTCACATAAAACACTTGCACACATTCGTAAACTGTAAGGATTTCGATCAAACTTCTTCTTCTTGGCTTCATCTCATCTGCCTCGGCTTGAAAGCATGTAAACAAATATCGTGGTGAGCATCTAAACTTTAAAATTTCCTTTACCTTGATGCTGGAGAGTTCAGAGTTTTACAGAGGCTGTCAGGATAGCAAAGGTTGGCAGAATGCATTAAGCATACGGGCTAACACATGGCCTCAGCACTTTGTGTTTACACTCTTTTGATCTCTTTAAAATCTGATCTTGTTGTGGGAGGGACAGACATGGGCAGACAGCAGGTCTGATGGCTGTAATGAGAGATGAAAGATTCAAAGGAACCATATGCTGTTTTAGTGTTTGGACAAGGCTTTTGTTATTTGCAGCATGGGTTAAGTCAGTCTTAATAGGTATAATTTAAACAAACGGGGAAAACAGTGGCTTTTGTTTAATGGAAATCCTGTTTGTCCTATTTAATTTCAGTCAGAAATAGCTCATATTTGCAAAACGCTCATTTGCAAAATAAGCATTTTTAAAAATGAAATATGCACAATCAAAACAGCAGCAAACTGTGATTGAATCAGACATACTCCATAAAACATTTGTTTACTGATGCCACTTCTCTTCCTGTAATATGTCTGTTTATTTTGCCTCCTCTGTTTTGACTGATTGCTGCTATTACGCAACTCTGCAGGAAAGAAGCGCAAACAACAGACAAATCACTTGAGGACGTGCTGGGAAACCTCAACCTCAGCTCGACGATTACCCCTCAGATGATCAACCTCGGCCTCTCGCAAGAGCGTAAGTTGCTTTCTGTCTTTCATGAGCGTGACATAAAACAGGCGTCGTGTTTTCACGCTGAACATGACTCAGCATTCTCGACGTGTCTGTGTATTTGTGACTTATATGGTGTTTTCACAGTTGTAGATGAAGTGTGGCACCAGCAGGCAGTGTTCAGACTGTTGCAGTTAATAGAGCTCCCCCTGTTGGAGAGTTTGTTAGAGGGTAAGGAGACATCGAGGCGTGCCCTACATGGCATGGACAGCGACCCGGACCTGTTGTATACATCAAGCTACCTAGACAGAGAGGTTCTGAAGGCCTTCAGTGAGGCTCAGTAAGTCCACACATTTTTTCTTCTTCTTCGTTTTATAAACGTTGATCAATTCACATGAGTGTTTCTGGTGACCTTTGTTAGACTTTAAGACCTTCACGCCACGCCTCACCAGATTAGCTGGTCTGCTGATACTCATTTTCTGCTGCTCTGCAGACGTAGAATGTGTATAGAATGGCACAGCATGTCTATTTGCACTTGTCCTGCTCTTTAACTTAAAGAAAAGCGCTCACCAATTGACCACTGCTTTTTTTTATTTGGTAGTAAAATTATGTGGAGGTGTAGAGATAAGAGTCATCGTAATAATGGTTATTCATTGGAACTGTGTAGTGTCCCTGCATTTACATGTAGTAGTTATATGCACACCACAAAACTGCAAAACCTCAGTTTGACTTCAGACTGCCCTGAACTTTGTTTATTAATTCTAATAATAAAGGCCAAATTTCAAATTCGCATATAAATATTAAATCATAATACTTTCCTCTCTTCAGGGCTGATGAGTGGATGTCAGGAGCAGTGGACTGTCTGGAGTTTCTGCCTGATGACCTGGTGGTGGAGATCAGCCGAGGTCTGGCCGCCTGTGGAGACGACCTGATCCGGTGTAAAAGACTACTGTATCAAGTCCTGACTAAGCACTACGGACACACACAACAGCCACCTCTGCTTAGCAACCAAATTTTCGATATCCACTGCGGCATTTCCGAACTACTCGGTATGAGAAGGCTCTGTCAGATCTTTTGTACAGATACAAGTTTACAGTGATAGATGTGAATCAGATTTTAGGTTTATGTAACTGCATCCCTGCCTTTTTAATGCAAATTTTGTGCTTTATCGACAGTGAACGGGAAGCGAGAGCAAGCTGTGGAAGCGCTCCAGCTGAGCCTGAAGCTGCAGGACTCTCGCAGCAGGGAGGAGCTGCGTCGGCTCCTGAGATTCATGTCTGTTGCAGCCAAACCGGAGGAGGTCAAACTGCACAAAGAGGTCAGCGCTAAGGGTGTATCTTGTGGAAGTCTGTACATTTTTGCTGGCTTTACTAACCCTACATAATTCTCCTAGATTGAGAACAGAATGGCAGTGAAAAGGTCTTTCTCACGTGCCATCGTCTACAGCAGAAGACTCGCCAAAGGAAAGGTGGACTTGATGGTTCTGTTCATGATGGATAACCACTGTGATCTGTTCAAAGTGAGTGTTCCCAGTGTTGTAGGAGGGATGTTATCTTATGTCCTTTCCAGCCGCTACAAACAAGTAACAGCATATTTGTTTGTAGGAGAAGTTATAATATTTTGCTGTCTCTCCCACCAGATTCCTGTCTCACTGCACAAGATGGTTAGTGACAGAATAACGAATATTGTGAAAGGGAAGGATCCAGATATGTTGACAGGTTTGCAGATTTTTACCCCTCACAGGCATCATTGCGTACATTCAGATATTTAACTGTTAACTGGGGGAATAAAGAGGAATTAATTTTTGGTTTTCTGTCTCTCTTTACTCCAGGATCAGCGTACTCAACAAGAGTAAGCACTGAGGTGTATTCACAAAACGCACGAAAAACCACTAAAGAGGAGCTCGTGTCTTTATTGCGGACAGTCCACGAGAGCCCTACGCTCTCTGATAAAGAAAAGAGACGGCTGCTTGGACAGTTTTATAAAGGCCATCCGGAGATATTCGTTCAGTACTTTGGAAATAAATTGTCCAGTATCAACATGTTGTTACAATAATATTTATTAATTTAAAAAGACCATATACTATAAGGTAAAGAAGAAAATAGCCAATGCAATCCAGATGATGTGAAAACGTCCATGTCAGCGAGTGGATTTTATTTAGACTACTGAACGCAAATGTGAATCTTAATAATCGTAATTATTTAAGGAACTTGACATTTTCTTTTGGTGCAGGACGCTAACATGAAGTTTTAAATGAAACTGTTACTTTCCGAGAAAGACAAAATGAACCAAGTGTTCTTTAGTGATTCCCCCCCCCCCCCCTTTTCTCACTGCAAACCATCTTGATGGCTTGATGTTTTGTAGGCAGAAAAGGGCAAATCTGCTTGCCAGATTTTTATTTTTTAAAGATGTAAATGTTCTGTGTGTTTGTGCAATAGAAACAGTGTTACCAGTCAAAATGTTCTCAATGCGATGTACAGTATAGCTTTGTGTAAGTAACCCTCAAACGGAAATTTGAAACTGGAAATTTGAAAGTCTGATGTTGAACTGTAGTAAACAATAAGACGCATTCATGAGAATCAACCCTCTGGGTTTTTGTTTGTCGCATCACATCAACAAAACAGATGTTTGTGCTTTTTTTTTTCCTTTTGTAACTGAAAACCTTAGCTCCATTTTAGTGGCAGCTTCAATGCCTTTTAAGTAAGGTTCAATAAAACCCTCTGCACGAGACAAGGAAATTGCTTCCATATTTCTATGGAACACTATATAAACTTAAGAAGGATCTAAAATTTGTAGATTCCACACAAAATGTGTTTAAATGAAAAAAACAAACGTAAATAATTTGCCACCAGAATGCTGAAAAACCCATCAGTGTTCCAGTTGTTAGTTTACTTTAACAAATTATTTTTGTTAAACAGACCGTTGCATTCATTTTTTTATTACTTGACTGACTGTAATCTAATCTTGCTTTCAGCTGAGTTTAAGAGGAAATGTGAAACAGTTTTCATCCTGTTTGTTAAATAAGAAAGTGAATGGTTACGGAGTCCTGAGATAATTTGAAGCTAGAACACTAAATCACAAAACTAAAATATCTGTAATAAATTGAAACTACTAAAAGCTGTAAGAGAAGACCGACAACTACTTTACTTTATACGCGTTATTTGCATCATGTGCATTGTTTTTGCTTCTGTAAGAATTTGTCGTATGGATTGGGCAGATTGTATGTTGCTAAAGAACATACAAAGCTGTGCTAGGTAGAGAAAATTACCTTCTGAGCACCATGTGAAAACAAGCAGCTGGTTGGTATTAAAAATGGTTGCTTTTGTGCAGTGTTTTTGAATTTGTCATAAAATGAAGATCTGCTTGATAGTGACAGCAAAATGCTGCTAACCAACTAATTGTTTAAGTCTTTAGTTATTAAATTTATAGACAAAACATAGATTCTCCCACAAAAATTGTAAAGTTTTATATTGTGCCCCCTGCTGGTAGTTGTCACAATGAAGCGTTACTTCAGTTTCAAAGTCAAACCCCCCCCCCCCAAAAAAAGAGCACAGTCGGGTTACTTCTTTCTCACTTTTATTGAAAGAAATTGTCTTTCCTCCAGTTATCTAAAAAAAAAAAGGAAAGGGGGAAAAAAGGAGCTTGCTTCCACTTTGCAATTCCTCATCAAACATTGCCAAAACTGGGAGGTGTGCCAAAATCAAAGGCTGAATTAAAAATTTTGTACAGTATAATGGTCAGTCTTTAAAAATAAGAACTGCTGACAAAACAAAAGCCACGAAAACACTCAGGTGCGCAGACTTTCTGTAGGTTTGTGTGTGTACACTGCTCTTCTGTACCAAGATCAGCTGATGTATAATCTGTCAGGTGGACATGTACATTTATCCTATAGGACCAGTGGTTAAAGATTACATTCTTTAGTTTATCGAATCCTCTTCTGTTGGCGTGCGCGGTAGATGTCGTGTATGGGAGGAGCGATCGCTCCTTTATCATCCTCCTCGTCTGAGTCTGCGTTAGGCCTCTTGAGTGACTTGGCAATAGTGTGGTTCTCCATGGATCCGTTGCCCTCCCCTCCTACATCAGGCTGTCTACCAGTGATCAGCTCTACAGCAGCATCAACAGCTACAAAGAGCAGGGGTAAAAAAAGAGAAGCAGGTCAAATGAAAAGTACAACAACCTGTTAACACACAATTAGGCAGTGTAAAACAGCTGCTCTGTCACTACAGCATCCATCACCACAGCTTTTCTTCTAATGTGACTAAAAATAGAAGTTGTATGGATTCATCCTAAATGCAGACTTACTCTCAGGAAGTGTGCATCTCCTGAAAGTTTCCATGAGCTCATCCACTTGAACAAAGGGACCCTGCAGCAACACACAATCACACACTCTTTTGAATCCAAGCAGCAAGGAGAGGGGAAAAAAACTGTTCCTAACATCTTTTATTCATTGCCAGTAAATATGAGCTTGATAAGTGTTAAGCTGCTGCTACTAACAGTGAAGCACGTAGGCGGAGGGAGCAGCTTCATTAGGATGACAGCAGCTGGGGGGACTGGGAAAACTCCACCAGGGACAGGGTGTAAACCTGGAGCTGCAGGGAGAAACACGAGAAGCTACGTCAAAGATGAATCCTTTCATGCTTTATGCAGCAGAGAGAGCAGTGGAAAGATGCATCGTGCTCGTAGGTTTACTGGATTTGAGGACTACGTACGGGCAAGGTGACGTGGCTGGAAGGGGATCATCTGATTTGTGTCTGGTTTGGGATACTCAGGTTTACGGTCAACTTCGTCCTTTAAAGCAGGTACAGAGGGTGCCACCACAGTCTCTGGTAGAAGTGCTGCCAGTTTGGCACGTGACACATCCTACAAAAAAGACACGGATACAAATTAAGTATAAGTTCATGTCAGCAGAAAAGCTGGAATCTGCTTATTTTGCAGGAACAGGATACTGCGACGCCAAATGGGAAAACACACACCTTGTATCCAAGGGCCTTGAGTTCACTGGTGGAGCAGGGATAGAGGTCCATAAACTTGTATCTATCTACGAGTAAGGCCGTTTCTTTTCCCTCGTATTCATCCTTAAAGGCCATGAAACGCCTGCGCTCGACTTTCAGAATACTGGCTAGGTCTCCTATGTTGCTCTCGAAGGCAAGGAACCGGGCCCAGATCTCACTGAAAAAAACAAAACACACATCACAGTTAATAAACATTGATATCGACAGTTATGACATAAACGTACATGTATGCAATTTATTCAATATTTGACATTACCCCGATTTTTCTGGTGATAAGCTTCCTGAGGTGAGGACACGTTCAAACAAAACCCTGGTGTTGTTATCCTCTGAAAGCCAAAAAAACCCCTGATTATTTACAACAACAACAGGAGACATTTTTGCATTACAAAGGAAGAAACTAAGACATCACTATTTCTTTGATATCAAAAGTAACCCACAGAACTTGTTACGTACCATTGAGGTGTGAGAGGTAATCGATGTATGCAAGTATGTACTCTGGAATGTCGCCATACTTCTTCAAACCAAGCTCAAAAATTTTAAAGGCCACTGATTTATCCTTTTAACAAAAAAACAAAAACAACAAAAGCCCTTAGACCTGTATGCGTGAAAAACACACAGTTCATACACTACACATCTGATCACGTGTTCTTACCTTGCTGCAGTAGTATTCCATGAGCGCTGCGGTGACGTACACATGATGACGTGTGCGTAGATCTTCTCTGGCTTTTTTAAAGATGGTGCGACCTGATTTGATGCCCTCGGCTCTCCTGGCAAACTTCATGTACTGGATGTAGACCAGTGTGGGGTCGATGTCTTCAATCGCCAACAACTTGTTATAGATGCTGTGGACCTTTTCGTACTTCATGCGACTCTAAGACAGCAGAAAAGGAAATGTGCCGATAAGCCAGCGTGCCTCTTTCAGTCTGGGTTACAGCGTGTGCAGAGTTCGTAATGGACCCTCACCTCCTCATAGTCAGCAAAAGCAAAGTATAGAAGCATGTTCTTTTTCAGAAGAGTCCCGATGGCACGTTCATAGATGTTAGCTGCCTCATCGCTGAACAGCTTTGAGTTATTCATGTCCTGAGGGGTAGGGGGTAGAAATACAGACTTATGGGACTGTTTGAGCTGAAGTTTGGCTTTATTTGAAAAATACTTAAGAGCCTTTAAACAAAAATACACATTAAATTTCACAATGACAAGGTTCATCTCTTACCCCTTTCTCTGCCAAAAGTTTGCTGGACTGCTCCAGGTACTGTGCTGCCTCATACCATATGTCAGGATGGTGGCCCAGGACCAGCAGGCACTGTTCATAGGCAAACATCACTGCACCACAAAAAATAAGAGTTAGTGACTAAAATATTGTCTCTTCAACAGCTGAGGTTAAGCACATCTCAAGAATGCACGTGGAGAAAAGCGTCAATCCGCGCCCTCTAGTGGCTTCAATCCCACATGTCATGCATTACCCACTGACTACAGTTGAAAACGTACTAAAAAAATTACATATCAGCATAACAACTGGAATTACAGTCCTCCCGACACAAACACAGAATAAGATTTACCAACAACAGCTTGGCCACAAGCAGTTACCTCTCTTTGTAATGAGGGTCTGGTCTTCTGTGCGCAGTGGGTTGCTTTTTTCCCACTGAATGTACTTCTTCCACATTTCCACCTGCTGTGCTTCCTGAGGGGAGTTCTGAGGTGGTACTGATGGTGCATTCCTGTCCAGCCCTTTCATCACTGTCTCATACTCCTGAAATATGGAAACAATACAGAAATCTGTATTAGCTTTATAATGAGAGTACACAGGACAAAGGACTGCACGTAGGCCTGTACATACTTGGGACACTGTGCAATATCTCACCTTAGCTACTCTCCTGGCATTCATGTAGTCTCTACTTCGATCCTCAATCATCTTTTTGGCCAAATGTACATTGATACCCTGTTTGTGAGACAGACAAGTCAGTCTACCAGTCACTCGGTACTCATGATGAAAAACCAAAAACTCCATTTAAGAGCAGAAAAAGGTGGACCACCCGCCTCTTCATATTTGCTATAATCTCTCCAGAGCTGTTCAATGTTGATCATAGGGTTCACGCAGCCTCTCTGATACACCCGCCGTACTGCGGTGATTCGCTGGTTCTCTGCATATGAACCCACAGCCTCACTAATAAAACAAAAATTTCAACATTAAAGAGATGCTAAGAGAGTTGAGTAGCAATAAGGTCATGAAACAAAAATCACTTACACTCCCTTGAGGAAATTGATGTAATCCACCCAGATCTGAAAGAGTAACAGATAGCAGTTATGCAATAGTAGTTTAAAAAACACTTATACCATTAGTACAAATACATTGTTCAGATTTGCATACCTGATATGACATAATTTCCATGCCAATTTTATCCAAGGCAAAGTCATAAGCCTGGGCCATCTTCTCTCTGATGGCAAGAAGAAGAGGTGTAAAATTGTATGGCAGTAAATAAATGCTCAATAAAACAATGCAGCTTGTCATCTTACTTGTAGCTGGGAAGCTTTCCTTTGGTCTCTCGAACATATGAGAGGTAGCATTT